TTTTGCTCTTCCCAAAAGGGGGAACGGAAACAATTTCCATTTAATGGTCTCTTCTGTCATGCCAGAAAAAATTAGGCAAGAACACAAGTGCTCAAATTCCCGAAGGTGGGTGTAAGGATTTTTGTCATCTCGCCCAGAGAAGGATTTCTCGAACCATGGCTATGAAAGCAGGGCGAATCTCATAGCCATTTGTAAGGATGGGATGTGATGATGGTGGAGGCTCCAACAATTCACCCTTTGGAGCAGAGAATTTAAAGATAGGAGTAGAATCCATATGGTAGGGATGGTGGTGATGGTGAGGTGCATATGATGGTGATAAAAAGGAAAAAGGATACATAAAGGACTTGGTTCGATTCTAGAATAGCTATCGTTCCCCGGCAACGGTGCTAGAAAGCTTGTTGGTATTAGTTAACGCAAACAGATAAATCTGCAAGTGCACGGATACCGCTATAGCTTTCACCCAGAGTATTCCTAGGTGTCGATTTCCACGGAGAACAAGAACTGAACTAGAAAAGATCAAGGTCATCTAAGAAATAGTGTTTTTAGAGGTAGAGGGGGGTTTTCTAAGGTTTTCCAAGTCAAACTAAATAACCAAGATTTAGGCTTACTATGCTTACTTACTTGAAGTAACAGTACCTTTTCGATCCTCGAAAAAGGCGGGAAGAGGTGATCGGGGTTAGGTTGCCAAAAAGCTCTACGGAAACACCAATGAGCGTGGTGGATTATGAAGAAGCTGGTCGAGCTGTCACCTTTGGGGCTACCACAACTATCCGTGGGATTGGAAGCAAACTTAAGTAAACACTAGCCTAGATACCACGCTCACGCTTAATGATTACTACTCTAGCCCGAATTCTTAGACTAGAGCACTCTCGAGCGGAGTTCCTGTAAGTGAAGCAAAGTAAGGACTAAACTTAGTCAAGTAGAAAGCTTGGAAATACTAAAAGAAAACCTAGATATTACTCAAGTCGAAGTCGGCTCAGTAGAGGTACAAAGTTAAGGAGGACCCGACAAACCCGGCTCCTCCTTAGCTTTATTCCTCTCTCTCTCTTCCTATTTTCTCTATTACAACTAGGTGTGAAGCACCCAGAGGGACACTACTACAATGTATGGATGAAGAATGAAGCTCAAGTAGGGTGTGTGTTGTATGTGGGGTGCCCTCTATTTATACAAGGAGCAAGGATGGTGATATGGCTATTCTGGCGCCAAGTCCCTATCTCCACCGCCTCAGATGCTCCCATGCCACCGCCTATCAAGGGGTGGCCGAGAGGGCCGGTGGGGGAGTCAGGCGACCCTAGGATCGGTCGCCCTCTAACTAAGCTCCCCTCGCCACCGCCTTGCGTGGTGGGCTATGGGCTGGACATGGTTCGCTCTTGGTGAGTTTTTCGTCCAAATGAGTTGAGTTGATGGGCGTCTTTTTGTTCCTTTGCCTAAATCAGCGTCGGAAAGCACCTTTCGGTGAAATTTTCATGCATTTGTGTTTATGTCCCGCAAAACAAATGAAAGCACCAAAACTCGTGGAACTTGTTAGATAAAATAATATTTTATTATGATGTAGCCTAAAATGTTGTCATTTTAATGCACTTTGGCACATAAAATATTTTGGGTTAAACGCCAACAAAGAATCCAAAGCGATAGAAGGAAGTGAATGCTCAACGTTGGCTGGGAGTACTTTAGTAGCGCCGACACTCCACAATGGCATCTAGAGGATTGGCTAGACGGCAAAGCAAGCGTCAACCTTCTCCGCCTCTGTCATTTCCGGAGGGTTCGGTGGCGGCGGAACCCAACGAATAAATTCTGAATATGGAACGCTCTTCTAGGGGTCATAATTATTTTGTCGAGTGTTTTTTTTAAAAGCACTCAGCAAAGAGCTTCTTTGCCGAGTGCCCGATATAATGCACTCGGCAAACACCCAGTTTCCTGTAGTGTAAGGAAACAACATAATCGACGGATCGAACATTTCATCGCCATCGATCCACTGATAGAAGCTGCATCCCTCTAGGTAGGCATCAAGTGTCGAGGGACATCGCTTAAGTTGGCAATAGTAGAAAGCACGTCCAGCTGACGTGGGGTGCCTTGACTACTTCACAAATGCCGGTAACCCACAGTAACACAACGGTGTTGGCTCTGCTGGTAGGAAAGGACCGATAGCACCATGATCCTTCAGATGGTGCACGAATTGGTTGTCATTTGGAACCGCCATTGAACCTATTATAAAGTAGTTCAACAAAGTAAAGATATGAACCAATATTATTACACAGTTCAACAACAATTTCCATCTCAATCATCTCTATAATCATGTAAACCCACGAAACCAAACCCTAAAACAAACTTATTGAATGTAAATAATGTCTATACATACATAGTCCAACTCATCTATACATCTAATCAACAAAAAAAACTTCAAATCACACACTTCCAAGAAAGTTTACTAACAACAGTCCAACCCATACTGCTGTCTAAACCAGTGCACTGAAACCCTAATGCACTGGCAACCAAAACCAATCACAAAAATCATAAAAGTTCAACAAGTACAACATGAACCATAATATATTATTAGACGTAATTAGCCAAAGCAACTTTCATTCAACCAAATGAAAGCCAGTATTACACACAGCAGTGTAAACCAGAGCAGTATATAAACATCAAGTAAACACAAAAAAAACAGAGGTGAGGGAGTCATACCTCATGCACGAGACCGTTCAAACCTGAAATGCAAATGCAAACTTGATAAAAGACAAATAGAGGATGGGAGAAAGAGAAGAGAGAACACATCAACATGAGCTCACCTCAAGCTCGCCCAGAATTAAGGGAGAGAGAAGAAAGGGAGAAAAAAAGGAGATGGGCAGCTGCCTTTATATGGGTCTGTCGCCTGGCGCGAAAGCGTTGTCGCGCTAGAGTCGCTGGCGCGACAAGGCAGGGTCCACGCTCCGTCGCGTCAGCTACGGTCAACGTCGGGCACCACCGTGGCTCGGCTTGTCACGCCAACGCATGTGACACGACAGCATGGTACCACGCTGGCGCGACCAAAAGGATTACTTTTGTAAATATTTTTTTAAATTAGTATTAAAATATTTATTTAAAAGGGATTAAAAATAAAAAAAAATCCTCGGGCAACCCCTGTCCGACTTCTGTTGTACAAAAGCGAGGAAACGGCCGTCTGTTAGGAGCCGCTTGTTATCGGATTCTGGTGGGGAAAAAAACGAGAAAACCGCCCAAACGACGCGCTCCCGATTCCGAGCAGAATTCGCTCGCCCGCGATTGAAGGCGGGGAGCGTCACCGAGCGGCCGCAGGGAGCTTGTTCGGGTAATTTCTTCGAGTCGAGTCAGCTCTCGTTTTCCGTACAAATTATAATCAACCTGCTAAGCAAGTGTCGTCGCATTTTCTGAACTAGCATCAGCCTAATGGCCGCATTTTGTTTAAAAATAGTAGTAACTGTCTAGAACATCACTGGGCAGGAGTGCAGGACAGGCTTGAGAATGAGCTTGTCAGGTGCACCTGAATTATATGCACCTCACCTCGGTACATGAAAACCATCCGAAGGCTTCAGCGTTTGGCGTACACTGACAGTCTCTGTACACGCATAGCGAGCAGCTCCCTGATGACTATCTCCGGTTCGGGCAGGCGTTGGCAAAGTGGGAAGGATCGCCGCAGTTAAAGCAGCTGCCGGGCACGGTGTCGCCCGTCGCTGAAACGAACATCCGCCGTCAGCGTTACGGCCTCTGCCCCTCCGGCCTCCGCCTCTCCGGCCTGCAGATGCAGACGCCTGCCTGCTGCTACCGCGCCCGCGGCGGCCTCTCCCCGTACCATTGTCCAATTCGTCTTCCCATCTGGGTCCACAAAAAATTCAAGTGAAATGAGGGACAAGTCAGGCACCACGTGTGATCTAGGAATCTTCCATGACGTAGTAAGCTAAGGTTACTAGCAGAAAACGAAAATGGTTCTCTAAAAAAAATGTAAAACCAACAATTTAAAGAAACATGTGAGAGTAAATACATTAATTATTTGCTCAGAGTATATAACATGTACAAAAGCAGGTTATGCCACCCTTGCCGAACCAACTGCACAGATAATGATACGCAACAAGCATAGCACGGGTTCAACTGTATAGATAAACTAAATCTCTTCTTCATGATACCAGATGAATATGCACGGCAGTGTAATATACTAGAGGTCAAGGACACCACATACTTGAAGAAGCCACAGCCAGGATCTTGACATTTGTAGAACTTCCTCCCCCTGTTAGCCTCTGTATTAGCAACTAGTAATATGCAAGCCGCTCCACATGAAGTGCACAGCACTTGACCTGCAACTGAATGTAACTCGTGAATAAGGTGGCAGCTTTGTAAACCATTGCAGAATGAGCAGCATAGATAGCCAGATACCTGAAGCACTACTTGGATTTTGGGTATGGGTTGAACGGAAACCTTGAGAATGCATAACGGATGGGTTCTCATTATTAAGCTGGCCTGCCGGACGAAAATTTGTATGTAAATCCTGCCTTGGACCCCCCTGACCCACACCATTTGGAGTTGGTCCTCTTGCTGTGAAGTAATATGGTCATAAAAGTGAATTAATACTTTAGAATGAAAATTACACTGGTTGTTTTAGTAGCAGAACATGGATACTGGAGACAGATGAGGTAGGTTCAACAAAAACAAGTGCATTGCAATTAGAGCAATAAAAAGATGAGCCCATATATCAATCAGAGAGCCGAGATTCAACAGAAACCTGGTGTTGCAGCCTGGCTACGACCTCCAAACCTACTTAGCTCCATAAGCTCTCTGAGGATATCATCGCATCCACCAACACAACCTATCAAAAAAACGGCTATAAACACATGGATGGAGTTAACAACAGTACTCCCAAATAAAACCACACAGCATAGAAAACCGATAGATCTAATCATAAAGAAAAATAATAAAATTGTGGCTGGAGTCTGGACAGTGCATTTAGGACAGATTACCTAGGTGATCAACATCGAAATTTGGTGGAATATCCCTCACGATTTGAACTTGAATTGAATCTTATAAACAGGGCCTGTAGGTGTGGTAGAGTTGTCATATCATTTAAGTGGAATGGCAAATGAAAAAACAAAACAATAACCAACATAAATCGGGGTCAACAAATGGGACACTAAAGATGACCTGGTGCACAGATAGGACAAACTTGATTAGTTACAGCCGCTTCTGAAAGAGATCCTGGGAGCCATACCACGTTTCTACACTGAAAATTCAACACATCTATTAATGCCAAACTCGTTGCAGAAATTCAAATAACATCAGTGAGTTTAGTTCTACATTCCATTTTCCGGCATAATAAGGTAATTTAGTTCTATCAAAAGACCATGTTACTCACTTGTGGATAACTTCGGCACCCAACCATAAATTCACCAGTCTGACAGAAAAGAAGAAAAGTTCAAGAATTTATAGAGTAATGCCAGTTTCTCTAGGAAAAAAATAAGAAAAGTGTCACAGGGAGACAACTTACCGCCCTTCGCTTAAGCACCATTTCAGATCCATTGCATGCACCACAAGGCCTCACAACCTCTACCGGATTTTGAGTTTCATTTATAGGTCTATTAGACCTACAAAAGAAAAGGGCAAGTTCAAGGTAGGAAGTCATACAAAGTAAAGAATGACTTATGAATCCAATCAAACACCTTGCAAAGAATGTCCCCATTGCATCAAGGAGTTTTGCTTTGTTCACCCTTGCCTGTGTAGCACCAATAACCACCATAGAGTCAAATTACAGTATAGTAGTATACAAATTCAGAAATGTAGCTAATAAAATAGTCGCAATGTCATTGCTTTGCTTCTTCGCAATAGTCTGTACATGTATCATGAAATACAAGAAATTTACAGCTTACATCAAGAAAACAGGCCTTCATCTGCTGCAAACAACTCTGGAGTACTTCTGATTTACTCTTAGTACCCATGCTAACTGATTTCATATCAGCTTCCATCATTGATCTTAAATAAGGCTTCCAGAGCTCATACCTAGAAAGTAGTGTTTGAGCAAAGCAACCATACCATCCTTTATAGATTCAGTAAGTGCAGCAACTTTAAGAGTCAACTCACCCCATTTCATCATAACCCATCACCAATGCCTCACCCTACATTTTTCCAAAAAAACAGAAGTTTGTTTCATTATTAAAAAAGAAAAGAGGTAATGTTTCAAGAAGACAAATGCACTCAAAAGTTGGCCATATTACTCATGAATTGAAATAATTAAGCTTATGTAAATTGGATTAAGTAATCACGATCTCACTTCTAAGCCATAGGCTCTAGCTCACTGTTAATTGTGAATTGTCAACAAAGTGGATTGTCAGGAATTAGAAATATCAGAAGCTATATCGATAAGAAACGTCATTAACCTGAATTAGATTAAAATGTTGAAGTGTAGAATTAAAAGTATGCATTTCTTACATAAGCAAAAAATGTAAAAGTTTCCTTTTGGACATCACACATTAGAACTCTCATAAGGGTAAGAGTACTTTCCGCACAAAAACAGTGGATTTAACGGAGGCATGCATGGATCTAGTGATATGGATAATATGCTACAGTATGCTAGCCAAAACAAGAATGCAGATCTGTATTTATTCATTTTTTAGCATAATTTTTTCAAGAAGCAAGCATTCCATAGTGGAGACTGTCGTTGAAAAAAGAATGATCAGATAGGATAGTTACGTGACATCTACATGCAAATGTACTATAGGTTACCAATAGATAGCCTTTTGGAATGACATACAAGATTTGTCGGGGAGAAACGTGTGTTTTCATCTTTGGTTGCATAACAACGGTCAAGCAACTTCTTTATGTGATCATGCATGGTTGCATCAGTGCCAATTCCTGCCTGGAAATAGAATAAGAAAATGCCAAATCTGCATGATTTTAAATTATGGATATGTAGATGCATTAAGTGGCACAATCCACCAATTCTGAATACGAAGCTATTGCCAGAAAAAAAAAAGAATATATCATGGATTAAAAGAAGGATTTTTTTTGTACTTTATCCATACAGCTAAGAAGGTCAGCTTCAGCAAGAAGAGGGGGTGGCCGAGTCACTCCAGAATCAAGTGTTAAAGTTGTCGGAACAAACTGCATGATTTTGAATTGATAGCTCAAGTTAATTTTGTATTTGATTGATAAAGGATACAAAAAGTTGGATATCAATGTTATTCTCTAAGATAAATCAGGCAACTGACCCAACTAATACTGAGCAACTCCTTACATATTGCAACGAATTACACACTGCTGCACATATTGCATATTTTTACATATACATCATTAGTAATATTAACTTATTAATAGACAGAAAGAACATATTTTCAATTCACATTATGAAGTAATCTGCAGTCTTTAACCAGTTTTTGTAACCATCATGCACAATAAAATATTAGTAAGAAAAAATGACAACCAAAATAAATGTGGAGTATGAAATATAACTACAGCAAACCTGCTGCCCAATGTTGTATGTTGGAAGTAATGTTCCACCCCATGAGTCAAAGCGATAAACATCCAGATAATTTTTCTACAGAAGAAGAAAACATTTCTTTGAAAGAAGAACAATCGCCAGATCCAAGTGAAGCAGCTAATGAAAGCATCTTATTATCAACAGGAGGTTTGGTGATAATACAGAAATAATATATCAAAGTGAAAAAAAAAGGCCACTTGCTGAGGTTCCTTGGATACAACAGTTTTTCCCTGTATCCACGGTTAACTGGTTTGCTAATAGACTTGTTAAATACTCCTTCCATTACAAATCATAAGTCATTCTGGCTTTTTTAGTTGCATAGTTTTTGCTATGCATCTAGATATACACTATGTGTAAATACATAACTTTTACTATGTATCTAGAAAAGCCAGAACGACTTATAATTTAGAAATGAGGGAGTACATATTAATGAATACTACCAAATATAAGGAAGCAACAATTGTGAATCACGCATTTATTACCAAAATACTCAACCCATTCAAAGATATCAGGTGCTCCCTCCATTCCAAATTATAAGACGTTTTGGCTTTTCTAGATATATTATTTCTACTATGTATCTAGACATAGTGTATATTTAAGTGCATAGCAAAAGCTACGTATCTAAAAAAGTCAAAACGTCTTATAATTTGGAATGGATGGAGGATAATTGACCCAGCACAATTGCATAATTGAATTGAACTTTGACCTTTCTCATAGGAGATCAGTTAAAGCTGTATATTCAATTGAAGGAACTTTTTTTTGAAACATACAATTGAAGGAACTTTCAAATAAAACGCTACCACTAGCAAAAAAAAATTGTCACTAAAATACCTTTTTGGACAAAACCAAAAAGAGGACATGCATGTTACTTATCCAATTCACATTTTGTATAAATTCCCCCTTTTCTTTTCCATTTTGAATAAATATTAGCATAACTTTGTGTAACAAACTTTGGCACAAAAAAAAAACTATTCAGGCCTTATAGTGTAGCTTTACATTAACGAAATTTGCTAATGCTACATCTGTGTACTAACTAGCCTCATTAGACCTTGCTGGTTACATATTTTAACCTACTTGTACTCTACAAATGTATCGAATAATGGTAGAAGTAATTTTTCAACAGATCCTAGGACATGTAGCACCAGAGAAACTGAAGGAATATGTTTGCTTGAAGTATTGATAGTATTGGTGGCCAATTAAAGGGAAGCAACAAAACAGGGATACTCACAGAAAGTATAACACGCCTGATGCATTAAACTGTTCACCGGCTATGTCAATTTCCACAGTTGTTTCAGCTCCAACAGCCGGTTGAGAGCAGCATGCAAGGAAATGTCGGACAACAAGCTCATACAATCTCTGGATTCCAGATATAATGAGATAAACAATAGTTGTATAGGAAATTTTATAACAACACTTGAAAAAGCACTTGATTTGTCAATTGTTCAGAAACACAACATACAGTGTGGTCTGGGCTCCAGTTTCTTTCACCTTCTGAAAACTTGGTTGGATGAATAGGAGGATGTGCTTTGTCATCATGACCACCGTTACTGGGATTTCTCCAAAGTCTTGCTTCAGGATTTAGAAGTCGCTGAGCATATGCTCCCCAAACTGGATGATTCACTTGTTCACGTACAATTGCCTAGGTCAAGGATAGACATACATTAAAAGGAAAAGGAAACAGCAAGAGCAACAAATTGAGAAAAAATAAATAAGGAAAGGTAAATAAGTGCAATCATTGTGAGTGTGACAGAGACCGTATGGAGTGCATTTTTACAATTGTCTTAGTGGGATTTCATCAATTAATAACTACTAATCCATTGTATTAATGTGATGGGAACAACCGGGAGAAACATGTTGCTGTGACTGACAAAAAGTCAAAAATAAGATCTTACATGCACGGTAGACCAACTGTCTGAGAACATATTTCTTATCACTTTTCAAACAAACTAGTATTGGCATATTGTTTAACAATGTCAATTGTCAAGCAAGGTTATAGGTGTAAACAAAAAACTTAACTGTAAGCAAAATCGTCAAGAAAACAGAAGGAAAGAATGTGAAACAAGTCAAGCTAGTAAAATCCAATACTAACATGCAGGTCAGTGTTTGGGGAGAAGTTATCAGTTTCTGTCCTCGGATAACTAATGAATCCAGCTTGATAAAGTTCTTCAGCCACCTGGTGTTGAAAGGGAAGAGACCACCAAACAAAAAACAAGCAAATAATCAAGCTACTGAGGTATGTCCATTATTAGATAATGGATCTGGAAGGGAAATTAGAACAATAAGAAAAGATATTTTTAGACCTTCATTGTGTGCTCTGAACTCATTCTAAAGTACCTAGAAGCACGTTTCTGAAGCTCCACTGTACTTAGTGGATATGGGGGGTATTTTAGTTTCTCTTGATTCCTAACATTTTGTACCTGCAATGAACAAAACAAAAAAAAAGTGTTACTACTGATCCATTGTTAACGAAGATTTGAATTTCAAACTATTGATGTTAACAGAATATATCAGAAAGCACTCACTGTTGCCATTGGTTCTGAAACACACATTTCATAGATACTAATAGCACATGAATAATCAAACAAATGACCACGTCTGCCAAGAAGAAGAAAAGGTCACATGACTTCCATAACAAAAATGTCAGAAGAAATTCTAAAGGGCATCTTACATCCAACCAAAAGATGCAGTGCCTTCATCTGAAGTATGAGTACAATTTATCGTCCAGAACTCTTCAGGTTCATGAGCTTGAATCTCCCAGAAACGCTCAACAATGAATCCTAGGGTTGGAAACTGCAATGAATAAGAAAATTTTAGACAAGATGGAAATCAGCATAACGTGTAGTAGCTTTGATAAGTGAAGTACCTGACAAGGACCATAGCTCAGAACTAAATTCCTATCATCCCCAGTCACATTAATTACAAATGCATCTTTTAACAGCATTGTTTGAAACCTTGTGAAGGAGGCACCAATGCGAAGGTCAATTTCCTGTACAGAGTTTTTTATTACTTATCTTAGCTTATCAAGAAAGTAAGAATGAACAGGCAAATGCTCATCCATTTGACACAACAAAATTGGCAAGAGAAAATATAATAGCAAATCTGCTGCTTTAGATTCATTTGATTGGATTATAAAGCTACAGGTATTAGAGGAAATATGCAGTAAAAGCTCTCCATGGAGTTCAATCTGATAGAGAACCAGAGCATTTTACATTGGTTGATAGTAGAAAGTTGTGATTCAAGTATGTGAAACATCAACAGCAATATTTAAATCTAGTGGCAAGTGGCAACTCAAATCACCTGTCTTGCATCCACAGCATCTGCAAACAGCTTGTTGGGCCTGCCAAGATGTTGCACAGATTCATGTATTTCCCTGCAGTTTCATAATATTTTTAGAAAATCATTATAATAGACAGAGGGAAAGAGACCATCACCATCCGAAAAAATCAATACCTGTCAATCAAAGCTGAGAAGCGAGCCCTCCAAATGTTAAGATGACTGTTGGCACTTGTACAAACATCGATCACTTCATATGCTATGTTCTCACCCTCTCTATCACAATCAAGCCATAGCACCAGCCACTGGCATCTCCTAGCTTCTTCTTCCAAAGTCTGTTTTATGGCCTGCTTGTCCTGCATATTGAAGGGACAAATTCAAGAATAGATCTCAACTGCAACAACATCCATGAAGTTATAATAACATCATGACCATGCCACAATCTTTATATGAAGAAAATAATCTCAATATATGCAAAACATGACAGCCGAAGATAGATAAGAACATGCCAGTCAATTCATGCTTGCATGTTCATGAACAAATTCATCCATACAGGGAGAGAGAAGTTTACAAGATAGAAGTACTAAAATGACTGCTTGTGTCATCATGAAGAACCCCAAGCAAGCATTATGTTAGCACCGAATTCATGGCAACATATTGGTGGAGTGGCCAACTATGCTCTTAACTACATGAATGGTGCAAATCATTTGACCTAAAGCGCCCAGTTGTTTTTTCTCCTTGTTAGCATCAATATTTATCTACATGCAGACATGCAGTGCAGTTGTTGCTAGTTAAGAGGATATCATTCTAGGCTAAAACCCTGCAAGGACTACATATCAAATGATTGTGTTAAATAAACTTTGATCTCTATGTAACCTGTTTAAACAAAAACCAGATGATTAACTGACAAATGGGCTGATCTGCACTTATCATGCAACCATCATGATATGCCTGCAATTACAAGTTTAGCATTTAAGAGCCTATTTGCTTGTGATCCAGGCAGCTTTGCCTGGTGCAGCATGCATTCCCCAGGCGCCCGATTTTGGATGCCCAGGGTTGGGGTGCATGCCTGGTGGGCAAGCTGCCTGGCAGGCCACCAAGCAAACAGCCCCTAAGTGTCCCTCTCTAATGGGACAACGACTCCAAACATCAGAGATCATTTAAGGGCTCGTTTGCTTGGAGGCCTCCCAGGCAAGTTGTTGCCCATGGCCTGGCAGCCATGGTAGCTCCAAGCATCCGAAATCGGACGCCTCAGGGCACTGCTCGCGCCAGGCAAAACGTTGCCTGAAGGCCAACCAAACAGCCCAGTGCGCCAGGCACACGATACTGTACACAGCGAAACACACACCCACTGTTCAGTGGGATTCCCGCCCCTGACACCAGCACATCCATGAGTGCGGAGCGCAATAATAGTATGGATGCCGACCATGTAAGGCATCATCACAACCGATAGGAACCCACGCACCAACCAATCAAACCCGAACCGCCATATGCAGGCCTCAGAGACGCGCCCACCATCTCTTCGGCGAAATGCTCGTGCGGAACGGAGAGAACGAGCAGCATACCTGGGGCACGGACTTACGGACGGGAGCGTGGAAGAGTTCGGCGGGTCGCAGGAGTGCCAGCGGCGGAATCGGTCATCAAATTCGAGCTCCATGAGGTGGCCCGTGACGGAGGTGACGAGAGCATGTGGCAGGCGCGGCCGTTGATGGCGTAGTTGAACTCGAAGATGCGGTTGTACTGGGACTGGCCCGCCCGCGACTGCATTGAGCGGCGCGACAGGATCTCCGCCACGGCCTTCGCCACCGACGGCTTCTCCGCCACGTTCAGCACGCGGATCGCGCCGCCGCCGCCGGGCTGCATCGGGAGAGGGGGTGGCGCGGCGGGTGAGGGGTGGGGAAACGGGGAACCGGTAGGGCGGGAGGTTTTGGAATGGTTTTGAAAATTCCAGTTTGGCGAAGCAGGGTCGCTTACGCGCAGTCTCTCTACATATATGAGTGGGCTGGGCTTTGAAGTTTAAAGGCCCAGGTAGAAATTTCGAAAACGTTTAGAAGTCCGGCTAATTTTGATTTAGCTCTAGTAAAATGGCAAAATTATATCCAGAAAATCTAAAGAAAAACCCAAACATTCTAATTGATGTTTAAATACATCTTTTAAATTTTACATGATAAAAAATAAGATGCAATCAACATGAATACATTCGGCATTAATGTATGTCATATCCATACTGGCTTGCATCTCATATTTTGTCATGGAAAGTTTTTATAAAACACAGTTAGATACTGATTAGAATGTTTTAGAATTTTAAATAACTTCGGATATTTTTCCATTTTTGTTAGTGCTAAATCTAATTTTGAAAGTTTTAGAGATATGTCACAAGCTCTAAATAGTTTGTTTGGTTTTTGTCGTGACTTGAATCCATCTCAGGATCTTTATTGAATTTTTTTGAAAAAGGGTCAGCAGGGAGGCCCCTACTTATATTTTTGGTATTTATAAAAATGATGAGAAGTACAATATATACAGAATTACAAGGCAGTCAATGCCCAAAAGGAAACAAAGTTCACTCATAAGGGAAAATTCTCACACCAACTAAGAAGTACATCCCTAATTTTCTTTTTGGCCTTGATACAAACCAGACTAATCTCTCTCTTTGAAGGCAAATTTCCATTGATTGAGGCTATAAGATTTGGCATAAAAAATAACACCATTCCTTGTAGTCCATATAACCCAAGATGCGGTGATAACAAGCTCTCTCGAAAAGCCGTACTTCCAAAAAAAGTGTTTCTTGCTTGACAGACCATATCAAGAGGATCGAGATTAGTATCCCAGGAAATATTTATTGAGTTCCAGCAAGCAATGCTGAAAGGGCAGTCGAAAAATAGATGAAAATTGGTTTCCTCCGAGTTGGTGTTGCAAAAAAGAACACAATTATAATCATCCAGCTTGTCTATTCTTTCTTCTCAAAATGTTCCTGGTGTTAAGGCGATCCATAAGAAGTAGCCAAAAGAAGAATTTGTGTTTCCCTAAGTTGCCACAAGACCACATCCATTCGAAAAGAAGTGGAGGGCTTGGTTGACCAATCAGGATCCTGTAGGATTTTGAGGATCTGTAGGTTAAAGAGCCCCAAATGTAGGTCCATTGATCTTCCTGTGTCCATATCCTAGCTGGAGTTTTGGAGGAGAGCTTACAAACTGTCTAACCTGGAAATGAGGCCTGGGAGAAAGAGGAAAAAGAAGATAGTTTGAGTCCTTTTTCAAAAAAGAATCTGATAGAGCATCTTCAGTAAGCCATCAGTCCAGGAGTCTCTGCCAGAGCATAACCTGAATTCCCTTTTGAAGACACACATTTTGTTAAGTTTTGAAATCATCTGCTAATTTGAGGAGATCTTTCCACCAAAAGGAACCAGTTGGAGTTTTAGCATGGGGAGGTATGTGATTATTCTTATAAAAATTGCTCCAAGTGAGACTCACCCAAGGATGTTGGCATGGTTATAAAATTTGTCCAAATATTTCAGAAGCAGAGCTGAGTTGTGGGGCCCTGAGATCAATAATCCCTAAACCACCATCTTCTTTAGGTTTGCAAGCTACATTCCAAGCTACTAGACAGATACCTTTCCTATTTATATCACCCCCACCCAGAGACAATGTTTTCTGTATTTATCAATTTGTTCAATGAGAGGTGGAGGATTTGGAGGTTGCACATGTAAAAAGTTGAAAGGGCTGAGAATACAGAGTTAACCAAAATCAATCGTGCTGCCTTGATATGAGAGCATTTTACTAGCTACCACTAAGTTTTCTTTCAATTCTGCAAATGAGGGGACTGAAATCTTGTATAGTACCAAGTGGTAGTCCAAGATAGGTAGAAAGGCATGGATCAACCTCACAGCCAAAAGTATTGGCTAGATGTTGAGTCTCTTCAAGATTCATATTAATTGGTACTAAGAAAGATTTATGAAAGTTCACCTTAAGTCCGGTGCTATTCCAGAAAGATCTCAAAGACCCTTGAAGATGAATAACATTCTAGCTTCAGCTGGCAGAATCAACAAAAGTATCATCAGCATATTGTACAATAGGATAGTCACCACCAAAAATCCTCACTAAGAGGGTGTTTCAAAACCCCAATTACCAAGCTTTGTTAACAATGGTTTGTAGGAAATCTGCAGAAGGACAAATAGTAAAGGAGATAAAGGTCTCCTCATCTGACACACCTCTTTGCAAGTAAAGCTCTTCCTCAGATTCCATTGAGTAGAATAGCAGATTAAGCCGAGATCCCAAATATTTTTAACCCAGTTGATCCAAGTTTCGAGTAGAAGCCTTTGAACTTCAAAATCTCAAGAATGAAAGGGTGTTCTATTTTATCAAAGGCCTTCTCAAAATCAAGTTTAAGAATAACAATCTTTTTCTTAGAGTGATGGCAAATGTGAAGAAACTGAAAAGCCCAAGCAAGGCAAATCCAGATGGCTCTACCTTTGATGAAACCATATTGATTATCATGTATCGGTGAGGGTAGGACTGATTGGAGTCTGCTTGAAAGCAGCTTGGTAATGCTTTTGAGGAATAATTGGGAAAGGAGATGGGTCTATAATCATCCCAGTAGCAGGGTTATCTTTTGGGAATAAGAGCAATGTAGAAATTATTTATGCTGCTTAAGTCCAAATCTGCCATTACTCAGAAATCAGAGAAAAGTCTAAGAAAATCATGTTTAATGAGACTCAACTTTTCTTTATGAAAAAGACCATTAAAGCCATCGAGAGCTAGGGGCATGATCATTGGAATAGATTTTATGACTTGATCAATCTCCTCCGAGGTGAAGTTTCCATCCAACTCTTCTAAATTATGCTGTTCAAGAGGTTGGCCAAATCAAAGATGATACTAGTAAATTCACTCACACCCAGTCTGTTTTTAAAAGCTTCATAAATTAAACCCGCCTTTTGATCATGATCGAGATGAGAATGTTATCTGAAGTACAGAGTGACACAATGTGGTTCTTTCTGTGATTCTGAGTAGCTAGAGCTTGGAAGAAGCTAGAATTTTCATCACCAAATTTAACCCATCTCACTATATTTCTTTGTCTCCAATAAATTCTCTTTCTTTCCAGTGAGAGGTTGTCGAGATGCCTTTTAACCAGCTTTCTCAGAGCTAACTCCAGGTGGATAGATTTATCTGTTCTTCTAGGCCATCTAAAAGCAATAAAACCCAATTGCAGTTGTGTATTAGCTTGCCCAGATTTGAGAAGCATTTGCTCCAATCTTTCAGCCCATGTCGACTTGTTTCAACTTATGTGATAGATTTCTAGCTGAGTTAGCAAAGAAGGGGGCATTGTTCCAATGAAGATCAACTATTTTCAAAAAGTCTTCATGTTCAACCCAAAGGATTTTCAAATCTAAATGTAATGCTTGGGGAATCTTGGTTCCAATGTTGATGACAAAGGAGAATGATCTGAAATAGGCCTAGAGAGGGGTTGAATATTAGTTGCGTGGAAGGAGAGGTTCCAAGTGGGGAGGTGAACAACCAATCTAGTTTTACAAGTAAAGGATCCAACTGTGATATTACTCCAAGTGTATCTGTCCAATCAAGGAATTTCTATAATATCAAGATCAATTATGAGTTCATTAAACATTTGAATTTCACCATGATTACCTGTGTTTGTTCCGTCTATCCGGGGATCTATAGAGATTAAAATCTCCGCCAAAATCCAATCATTATAATCTGATCTATCCAAATTCAAAGAACTAGGTAACAGATCCAAAAATTTTAGCCAAGGTTGAAGGTCCATAAACATTAGTTAGATGGAAGGAATTGTTGTTTAGGAAACAATCAAACTTAACAAAGAATGGCACAATTATTAGCTTGCACCAAAGTAGAAGAGAAGAGACTATTGTTCCAAAGTGTAATGAGTCTCCGTAAGCTCCAATGGTGGGGGGAGAAAAGAACCTGTCAAGATATCTTGATAGAACTTTTTAAATAAAAACTATCAAATTTTTCTCTTTGTTTCCCATGCATAATATATGACAAGTTAACTCTCATAAATTTTGTCTCGATAGCATCCCACTTCTCCTACGAATTCATTCCCCTAATGTTCCACACCGCAATTTTTATATTTCTGTTGTTATCCATATGTTAACAAAAAAGAGTAGAAGAGATAAAACTGATATCTCGTGATACGATTTGTAATCTGGCAGCCTACATATAGAAAAGTTTTCCTAACAAACTATTGGGGACCAATATTAGGGGCACCTAAGAGGAGAAGCTAATGATCACAACATTGATTCATCGTGATCAAGAGCGCGATTACACCGCTTAAGCCGAAGTCACTCGGCCTCATTCACCGAGACCATGGGCTCGCTTCTTTGTCTGACCCTCGAGGGTTGGTTTCTCTGGGCGGCTGTGGTCGCAGCGCCATCTCGCCAAGCCCTCGAGGGAAGGACTTCCGCCAGTT